CGGCACGCGTCGCTCAACTGCACTTGCACCACAGCCTCGTACAAGAGCCCGAGCAGCCTGCTCTTCGTCGGCTTCTCCAGCTCCTCGCCCAACACGAGTGGCCGCGACGTCACCTCGTCCCGCGGATTGCGCTCCTGCCTCCGCCTGCCTAAATCAAGTCCCTCAACCGAGTACACACAACGAAGAAAGTCCGACAATTTTATTTAGCATAGTTTTATCTATTGTAATAGAGGACCCAATTCAACAACAACCAAGAGAGAATAAACTGTGTATTAATATTAATAAAGAGTTTATTATTGCAAGGGTCAGAGTTTATTGACCTTTGCGTTATAGCCGCTTCAACGATACAACTTGTTCAAGAACTCCCTCTTGCCCCAAGATGCCAACTCGGCACATGACACGATCTGCGTCGCCGGTGCTTCAACGATCGCGCCTGCGTGTTTCTGTGCCGCCTCCCACGTGGCGGCACGGAAAATGGCGCGCGAAATAGAAACACGGGGTTCGAAATTTTGCGTTTTTTCTCTTTTTGCGTTTAATGTGCGAGAACCATTAGGTTGACGACGACGGCGACGCATGGTGCTGCTGCGCGTGCACGGGATGCTTGACCGTAACGACCCAGCTCTGGTCGAGATGCTCCTTCTCCATGATCGCGTCAATCTCGGGCTGCAGACCCTTGAGAAAGTCCACTTTGCAGTCTTTCAGAATATTGACTTGGGTCGGCGACATGCCCACAAACTTGCCCATGGCCGCGTGGTCCCGCTTCTTGATCGCACGCAGCTTCTTGGAGACGCGGAGGCCGTCGCAGTGAAGCTTCTCGGCAATGTAAGTGTCCATCATGCGCCCTTGGGGCACCCGCATGTGGCCAGCCTGCAAGAGTCGGACCAGCTCGACACAGTAGCGGGTCTCAGCAATGGACCACGGCTCGTGAAGCTTCCGGAGCGGCATGAGCGAGTAAAACACCGAGTTCTTGTCAAAGCCGTACATATAGTACGTGGCCGTCCAGTCGACAACACCCGCGGCCGTGAGCACAACACAGACGTCCTTGCCCGTCTTGAGGCGAGCAATCGTCGACGGTTGCCGTGCACTATTCACGCAAACACAACAACAATAAGATCTCATGGTCGACAAACGAAGAAATAACGTACTTGGCACGCGAAGAAGAAGAAGAAGGCTTGGTCGGGGCGCAAGCGGCGCCGGCGTCGGGGTCGATGGGACGTCACGACGCTCCTTCTTGAACGGCGGCGACTCGAGCGTACTCGTAATGTCGTCCATGGTCATTTTGCGCTTCTTGGAGAGCGGCTTGAGTTCTAATACAGGATGATGAGCACACGGGCTTATCGCACTTGGATCAAAAACCTGTGGTGGTGGTGGTCGTGACAGGGCACGAGATTTGTCGGTCAATGCTGGCGAGTGGCGGGATCTGCATCGAGATGCTGCGCACGAGACGTGGCAATGGCGCAAACTTGCCAAACTGTTGAAGCAGATGCAAGGACGGTAAGAGCGGCGACGACGACGACGACGACGATGATGTCGGTGTCGATGGCTGGGGCAAGAGCGGCTTTAGGACGGGCGGCGCCAGCGGTCGCCGACAGCCGCCTGTCGACGGCGTGGATGCTGCTGTCGCTGTGTGGTCGCGGTTGTTAACGAGGATGCACATGTGAGGCGAATTGAAGTATGAGGCGTCAACGCAAAGGCGCATATTCGATCCAAACGACTTTTCTTTGTGTCGGTGTAATGTCCGTATTTATGGAGGTGGGCTGCACGTGGAAACGGATTGTATATTATGATCACAGCGGAGAGTAGGACGCCCGTGTCATACGAGTGCGCGGCCGAACACGAGCGACATGGCTCGTAGAGTGTCGGCTGCGCGCTGCGCGCGCCACGTACCTGCCAAACCTGAAACGCTCCGTGTTATAACGCCAGTTAGAACCGCTGAAACAGCAAAGTGCAGATGACGAAACGGCAAAGTGGGCGTTATTGTGCAATCTAACAGCGATGCTAACACATACCTAACACTTGGGTGGCCTTGTCGGCCATAGACAGGTGCGGTCTTGGTTCTAATATTTGGCGACGACGGTATGCCGAACGTGATGGGAGTCTGTTCCAGTGACGCTGCTGACGAGGCCATTTGGGGTGGATGCTTCTTGTGCTCGTGGTGATGTCCTCGGAATCAAGCGCTTCAAGCTTCAGCAGCCACGTGGTGTATCTTTCAACGGGACGTTCGATCAAGGGGAGGTGCAGCGGAAGTGTTGTACGCTCCATCTCCACGTCGACCGCAGCACTACCAGTATTATAATAGCAGGGAGAATCTTTACGTTACTCACGCGCTTGTCCTCAAGAACACATCGCTTTCTTTTGCAGCGGGTATAAGGGACGGCGCGTTTACTGCAACACTTTGGTCGCGGTGATGCGAGCGAGGGGGCAAAGCAGCTGCGGACACCATAATGCCCCATAATCAACGCCATAAACACGATGAAAAATCGTGCTTGTCCATGCGCATCTTCTCGTACCCATGTGACCGAGCCAGCTCGTCCAACTAGTCGCACCCAACTTCAACGCGTCAGTATACTTTAATCCAGTGAACAACCCAAGGCAAACTTGGCGTCCAACGTACGGCTAGGAGGATTTCGCGCGCCACTTGGTTGGAAAGTACGGAGCGACGACAAAGCGGTAGTAAGCGCACCCATTTTAGCAGCCTCGACCTCCCAACCTCCTAGAGTATATCACCACAAGGACATACCACCGCACACGGCGTGATGCGACCTACGCCGTCGACGACGAATACGAAGTATCTAAACACCCAAAGAGAAGACGACATCGCAAGGGTTCTCAAGCTTGGGTGCCACAGATTCCGTGTGCGATATGTGTCGCGTCCAAACCATACAGTGGGTTGCCTCGATGTTTCCAATGCGCGCCCGCTTCCGATTGGGGCTACCATTGGTTGGGTGCATTTATCCAAATTGTCGTTCGGCCGGCCGAATCAGGCCCGTGAATATCATTTCGCGCTCCCTTGGGTCTGCGCTCGCCATTACACTAAAGTCGTCTCTATGGCACGGACTACGAAAGAAATAACTCGTATTGTGGTCTTCCAGCCGGTGATGCGAAGGCGGTGGGTTCCTTTTGAATGATGGCCTGTCTGCGATCGCGCGGTCTCTGCGGCCGCCACGTTGCGCGCGCGTTCCGCCGCCGTGACCAACACAACCCTAGGGACAAGCGCGTCGTTCTTCTCAGCCACGCGTGGTACAAAGGTGATGCAGTCGTCGTCGGACAGACAGCACATACCAGTCTACTAGCAGTATCTCCGTACTACACTGCATGTGCCCGAGTAGCCTCGTGTAGACCACCGTCAAGACCCAACCCGACGAAGCTCTGGCTTGTCGATAGCGTTGACGCATCCGTTGACGGTATTGATGCAGGAAAATACCGAGCGCGTTTAGTTGAGGGTAGTACCGAACGACGAGACCTGGCTCTTCTTGGGTGCATTCGACGCGCTGGGTATGTGTACTGGACGAGGCCCGTCTATATCCACGAGCCAAAGATAAAGACCACCTAGATGACCTATATGCATTCGACATGGCGGTCGGACTGGTGACTCGACCGAGACACCGAGACAGCACGCAGCTGCGGCGCTTTGAGAGCGCTTTCAGCAAGGAGCGGGACGCGTAAAAAGTTGAAACAATATTTAAGACGCTGCGAGAAAGCCATGCTAGCGTAGGCGCATCTCTCACTCTCGACCAAGCGACGAAACCCTCGATGAATCGACCGACGCAACCCCTCCCCACGTCTTCAACTGACACAAGGGCACACTGGGCCGAGAAGTACGGCCCTCGCTCGAGGGACAGACTGCCATTCTGCCATCACCTCGAATGCTCTGAAGTCTCTGGTCGGCTGTCGGGTGCCACGGTTGTGCGATCGTTGTTGTTGTTGTTGCAGTATTGATGGGAACCGTTGGCACTTTCAAGCCCTTTGCTTGCTACGGTGGGTCGATGGCTGTTGCGCTTGCCAGGGTGCCCTTTAGAAGCATCGTGCAGTAGGCTGGCAAAGGGCAAGTCGAGTTACAACAAGCGGTTGACGTTGAAGTACCTCTGCGAGTGCTCGAGAAGCGTCTCGACTTGTTTGAGAACCGACAAACACCTTCCCACACATCTCAGCACGCTCCTCCAGGCGCTCATGCTAGCGCCACCAGTTGACCTACGCGCGGCGATCACCGCCTTCTACTGCGTCACTGCCTCCATGGACCTTGGATGCTACAACGTCAAGATAAGCCGCAGTCGCGAGCTACAGAAGCCCATGACGTCCTGCACGTGACCAGCTTTCGCTGGCCTGTCCCATCGTAAAGTGATATTCAAGGGCGAGGGACCTTCGATTCTGCTTTGGGACCTTATCGCAGTCAACGTCGTCTTTCAAAAAAGCAGCTGCGATCCCCCTTGCCGCAGGCTACAAAACGCGCGTACAGCCAAGGCGACGACACACAACCGCCGTTATGCCATGTCACTCGACGGCTACTACTGCGTGGGTGGTCGAGATCGTCTTGGCTGACATCGGGCACCTCTCCAACAATCGCACGACCCGTGTGGCACACTTCCGTGATATGATCGGGCCAAGAAGTGGACGATGATTTCCTCGAAAGGCCGAGCAATTGAGGAACAGTATGATCATCCAGTGTCCTTTACAGTGTCCGTCCAGCGTCTTTGACAGTGCTCAGCCAGCGTCTTTTACAGTGCATGTGAACGGTAAAGTCGATGCGAGAGGCCTGCAAGCGCCCACGCCACGGGAATTGATTTGTTTCCTTGGCCCAAGCTTGCTTTCTTCCACCAAGTCGGGTCCCGCGGATCGCTCGACCTCTCTCCGATTCTTTCCTTGTCAACTCTGACAGCAAACCCACAACACGCGCAAAAAGACCGTGTTTTCACCGTGGCATTACGGTAATTTGACGCCGTCCTTGAGCACGTCTTGGAGCGACCAGCCCCAGCCGCGCGCGCCGTCCGCGACCTTCCAGTTTGCATACACCCATCCGCGCGGCGCCTTGTTGACGACCGGCAATACCTTGGCCGCGAGCTCCTGCTTGTCGGCCGGCGTCGTTGGTGCGGAGGCATTGGCACCAACACCGAGCGTCCACGCACCGATGAAGAGCGGCTCGCGCGACTTCCAGCCGTCGATGCGGGCCGCCCACGTCGCCGGGTCCGACGCAAGCGCCGTGTCGTTCATGCCCGGCAGCACGTGCCACTCGTGCCACGCGTGCGTGATTGCATCGGGCACATCCGGGTTGATGAGAAAGTTCATAAAGGTTCTGTCTTCCGACATGACA